CCCACACTGTCTGACAATCATGCAAGTCTTAGAAGGCTTGCTCTCCAGTGCTGCAAACAGACTAGTTCACATAGTCCCTTAAACCTCCAGAATCTCATCTCACCCTCACTCTTAGTTGATGGGTTTGCCTTCTTCATACGTCATTGACTAAATTGAGACCTACCAAGGTGGGGCCCCTCGTCTTGCTAAGACAACTCTCCCCACTCTCCTCTATCTGGATCTGCTCTCTGCCTTCTTACTTGTAGATGAAGTTCTCGACTCCTTTCAGAGCAGTCCTGTCATCTGTATCTTTCCCCTTTCTAGGACTTGGCTCCTACAATGACACTCTCCTCTTGTGTAAAATTAATTTCTTCTTTATTAAATCATTCTGTTCAACATACAAATGAGCTCTAGTAATCCCCTCTGTATTCGTTTTCTATTTACCATGGTAACAAATTTCCACACTCCTAGCATCTTAAACAACATAACTTTGTCATCTTACAGGTCTGTAGATAGACGTTCTACATGGATGGGTCTTACTGGGCTAAAATGAAGGAACCGGCAGAGCTGCATTCCTTTCTGGAGGCTCTCTGGAAGAATCCATTTCCTTGCCCTTTCCAGCTTCAAGAGGCCACACACATTCCTTGGCTCTTGGTGCTTTTCCCTCATCTTCGAAGCCAGCAGGGCCTGGGTCTCTCTGTGCCTTTCTTCCATAGTCACATACCCTTATGATTCCCTCTGTTGCCTCTTTTCCACTTCTAGGGATCCTGTGATTATATTGGGACCACCTGGATAATCCAGGATACTCTGTTTACAAGTCAGCTGCTTAGCAACCTTAATTCTATCTTCAATATTAATTCTCTTTTGCCAGGTAACTAATATTGACAGGTTTCAGAGATTAGGGCCTGGAACTCTTTGGGGCCATTATTCGGACCACTACACCCTCCTAAAGAAAAAAACTTTCCTTGACTCTAGAGTCTAATCTGGTCAGTGCCCTGTTTCTCTGTTCTCATTCACAGTCGAAATTCCTGGAAGAGTTATCTTCACTCACTGTTGCAGCCTTCTGGGACTGAGCCACTGATCTGTGGGGTCTGTGCTAACTCTGGGTAGTTAGTGTCATCAGTGAATTGTAAGACTTTCTGTTGGTGTCCAGAAAGTAGGAGAATTGGTTAGTGTGGGACAACAGCACACACATTTGTTGTCAGAAGTGTTGAGAGTAAAGGAACAGAGTGTTTGCCCTTTCACCTGGTTAAGATGAAGATGTGATTTCCTGACAGTCCAGCAATTACATTCCAAGAGAAACCTTGACGTGTACACAGGGACACGTGGACATAAATGTTCATTGCAACACTAAGTATAACAGCGAAGAAAATGGAAAAACTACTTGCAGTTAGCAGGAGAGTGGATATATAAATTATAGTTTATTAGTACAATAGAACATTTATGGCCCTCAGAAATATCATTAAAAGCCAGTTTCAAATGGATATGTAAAGTATGATACTACTCATAAATTTCTAAAAGGTACAATAATATATATATATATTTACAGATACTTATTTTTGTAATACAATCACAAATACCTCAAATTCAGCACATTAGTTATTTCTGAGACTAGATGGAGGGAAAAGGTACAGGAGCTGTAATGTTGTTATTTACGTTTCATTTCTTCAAAAAGAAAAGAGATCTAAGACAAATGTTGCAAGACATTAACATTTGTTAAATCTCAGTAGGGGGCTACCTAGGCTATTTGTTATATTATTTCCTGTACTTTTGTATGTTTGAAATACACTACAATTTAAAGCAAATTTTAAATGAAAATGCCTGGGCTTGTATAAATAGTTTCATAAGAAAAGGCTTGATTTTTAAAGTCTGAAAATTTAACACAATTGAATTGCCCAACATGTCTTGGGGCAACCTTAAAATATCCCCCCTTTTTAGGCCAAGCAAAAGAGGACACAAAGTTATAGAAAACTTAATGAAGCCACATACCTTGGACATATCTGAAATGGTTTATGGCGTGGGGCAAAGAAGAAAACGGGAGCCATGCTAATTTCAAAAGGCACAATTTCCTTGAGCATCACTGATTTTTCTCTTAGTATCTGGAAACAGATCCTTACACTGGCTCCTAAACCACTTTCCTTCAAAACAGGCAAGAACTGGATGAAACTACTGCCTCTCGCTGTAATCAGCTCTTTGATTATCACTCTTCATCTGCACACTGAAGAACTATTCCAATTTTTCTGATCCCCTTTTGAAGACTTGACAAGCCCTTATCATTTTCCAAATAGTGAAAACATATCTTTGTCCAGGAAAACTTTGTGTGGACGGAACGTTTTGGTTCTCTGGGCACAGGTGGAGAACCTGAGCTCGCTAACACATTTGGTTGGGCTGCTTTGCTGAAGACACTCCATGCGTTGTCATGACCCATTGCTCTCAGCATCAACAAGACTGGAGCTGTGCCAGCAGTTCTGAAAGGAGTCTTGTCTATGGCTGTGAATGCCGATGACTTTTATACAGCCTGGTCCTGATCTCAATCTTTTCAAGAAATTTTGACTAGAAAATCGGTCGGAGTAGGAAGCCGACTTCCCAAAGAACACATCTTAAAATATGTGATTGAACTTCATGCATAAGTCATATGTGTGCTCAGTAGAGTGGGACAGAGAGACGGAGAGAAAGGAAGTGAGAGAGAGAAAGCCTTCTCAGAACAGTTTAACTGGGAGGTGCTCATTCCTGGTTTTGTTACATCATAGGTGTCTTTGACCATGAGAATAAGGTAAATATTTTGATTCAAGGTCCTAAACAGAGCATTATGGATGCTGCTAAAAGAAACCCCACCAACTCTTACAGCTCAGCCGCCTTGTTGGGAAGGGACAAGAGAATGCAAACAACAATGTAAACTTTCCAATGAGGAGGAAGGACTTTCTGCGGTGTGAAGCCCACAGAGAAAGTCTTCTTAGTTTCTCTGCAAGCAGAAACTTTCCATACCTGCAAACACCATAACATTCTTTTGAATGTTACTTCTGCTTACACGACTTTAAAATTGAAACATGAATTAATCATCCTTTTCGGTCCACAGAAAGCTTCAGTGATATACATCTCACCCAAGATGGTTCCATTGATTTACAACGATGAGGGGGAGGAATGAATTCAACTCAGTCTTGCTATATGTCCTTTGACCTATATTAAGCCCATATTTTGAGAACTTTTTGCCGTATTAAAAAAAAAAAGAAATTAAATGGGGGACATAGATGACATAACCCAACCTCTTATTCAAATCAAAAGCAACCTTTCACTGGAATTTACTATTGAATAAAGTTGAGGTTGCCTTTCATTTTATAGACACTTGGATTTAATTCAAATTAATGAAAAGAACATTTTGCATATTAACATTTATAGCAGTTATTTACTGTTTATGACAAGCTAAGCACTGTGCTGTCACTTCAGATACAGTGTCTAACTGAACCCTGTGAGGGGAGCACTAATATTACTTCCCTTTAGCAGATCAGAAAATTGAGAGAGACTGTGTGACTTGTCCAGTGCCACACAGTTAGTATGTGATAAAGCCAAATATTTCAGCACATATTTGTCTGATTCCAGAGCTCATCCTTATATGTCAAAGGAATTAATTTTCAGTGCAATAAAATAAGCAATTCGAACACTCAGTTTCTGTGCATTTTTCTGTGAAAGATTTGTTTTGATCTTCTCAGAATATTAGGGCTTTATAATCAGTGCTTCTTAGGGTGAAAAACAACTGGACTAGATAAGCCACATGACGTGGGCTCCCTGAGAAGCCCCTTTCCTCTCTGCCTTTGCATTACTGTATGTGACACACAGCAGGTGCTCTGTATACAAATATCTGTCAAACAGCACACAGGCAGGACGGCTGTCCTAAGGTTGCCCTGGAAGTATGCTGACTGTCTCCCAGGGCTTTACTTGGGAGATGGGGACGGTTTGGGGTGGGGAATATTCCCTGGCGTCTGTACCACAGCCAGCCTTTGATCCTCAGCTTTGCAGATTCAGAACTCAGATTTTATCAGCAGTTAAAGAGTTTATTAATGTCTCAGGGACACAGTCACATTACTGTAGCCCACTTGCCCTGGCTACATTTGTCTAAGGACCAAAGAACTCAATTTATAATGAAAAGTATGAAGGTCAGAAACACAGGAATGTTAAAGTCATCACAAACAGCGTGTATCCTCCAAGAAGGCAGACCTACATGGGAGTGGAAGCGTAACTGGAAGCTTCCTTGGTAAATATGGAAAATGAGCAAGAGGGGTTGATTTGAGGAATCCAGTGTGTACTGGCTTCTGCTAAGAGAGCCTGAGACATTTATCTTAAAAATAAGGAGAGTCCTGCCAAGCCGCACAGAACAGAATGGCTCTCCCCAGGACCTTTGCATTCCGACTCTTGTTTGCTAAGGGGGCTGCTGACTCTGCTGCTGATGGACACATTCTTCCTTTGTATATGCTAATGACGTTCCTCTGGTTACGGTCCTGACTGATTGGTCAGACCTCTTTCAGGTGAATTTGCATATCGCTGCAAGGTCCATTTAGCCAATTTTTTTAAAAGTTTAATTCCCCCAAGGCAGTTTTATTGGTGGGCATTCTACTCTAACTTCAGTGTACAAAGACCAGCATTTTCTAAGGCCATTCCATAGCGGGGTAGTCCCTTCATCTTCCAACAGCGATTGCTCCTCCTAATTTTAAAGTCAGTATATAAGCTCCGTGAAGAAAAGGATTAGAGTCATTTACTCAATGAACATTTTAGGGGTGTGTCTACTGGGTGTCAGGCTTGTTCCGTGCAAATTACCCTTTAAGCAATAGGGTACAAAGGCGAAAGACACCAAAAGAGTATTTATATTAAAAGACTTATAAACAAAATGATGGTACTTCATTTTAAATAGAAATGAGAACCAGTCACTGTGGGAGCACAGACTGTGGAGAGATGGCTTCACCAAGAAGGAATGGAAGATTTTTTTAAAGTAGACAACAGAGGGCATTCCAATAGATGGAACCACTTACGCAAAGGTACAGAAACAAAGTGCTGCCTGGGAATGGGGGAGGTGGTGGCCCTGGATGGAAGGCTGGGAGTGGAGGCGAATGTGGGCTGGAGGGGACGCAGGCACAGGGATGAGGCTCCTTGAGTTCAGGGTCAAAGGCACAGGAGACCTTTCCCACCATTCCTGTTGCCCCTGGAATACTCACCTCTCCATGTTTGTCACTTGTGCCTCCGGCTATTAATTCTCTGTCACCTTCAGAAGCTTCTGCTTTCCTCAGGTCATTCTTTAAATCAGTAGATTTTTTAAAAAAATATTTTTATTGGAGTATAGTCAGTTTACAATGTTGTGTCAATTTGTGGTGTACAGCACAATACTTCACTTATATAGGAACATACATATATTCATTTTCATGTTCTTTTTAACCATGTTACTACAAAATATTGAATATAGTTCCCTGTGCTTTACAGTATAAACTTGTTTATTTATTTTATATATAGTAGTTAGTATCTGTAAATCTTGAACTCCCAATTTATCCCTTCCCATCCCCTTCCCCACTGGCAACCATAAGTTTGTTTTCTATGTCTGTGAGTCTGTTTCTGTTTTGTAAATAAGTTTGTCTTTTTTTTTAGATTCCACATACAAATGATATCATATGGTATTTTTCTTTCTCTTTCTGGCTTACTTCACTTAGAATGACATTCTCCAGGTCCATCCATGTTACTGCAAATGACATTATTTTATTATTTTTATGGCTGAATAGTATTCCATTGTATAACTATACCACAACTTCTTTATGCAGTCATCTGTTGATGGACATTTAGGTTGTTTCCATGTCTTCGCTATTGTTAAATCAGCAGTTTTAAAAATTGAGTTTTTTCTTTTTTCTTTTTTTGGTGGGGGGAAATAAATAGGTTTATTTATTTATTTATTCTTAGAGGAGGTCCTGAGGATTGAACCCAGAACCTCACACATGCTAAACATGCGCTCTACCACTGGAGCTGTACCCTCCCCCGAGCCACACTGTTCTGCTCCCCTGCTCCCAGGGACAACCTCTGGTACCAGCTTCCTGCATATCCTTCCAGAAAGTCTCTGCATTGTCAAGTACACACACGTGTGTATACACACAGGCATTTATAGATAATTTTTCTATACAAAGAACAGAATACTACTGCATCTTGCTTTCTTCACTTTAAAATAGATTTTGGAGATCTTTCCATTTTTATTTATTCTTTTATTCTTTCACTTGACAAGTATTTATGGCGTGCCTACTGTATGTCAGGCATACTTAGGTCGTGAGGATGTAGCAATGGCAGAATAGGTAAAATCTCTGTCTTCATGGAACTTATATTCTAGTAGAAGTGGTACAGGAAAGCAGACAAAACCCAAATAAACATTGAAACACACACAGTATGCCAGATGGTGATACGTACTATGGGGAAAAATAAAGTGGCGTCCTGGGAGGGCAGAGGTGGGAGAGAGGCCGTAGTGGTTACAGAAGAGATGGAGACAGAGAGATCCTGTTCCTTCTTGGTCCAGAAGCACTCTATCAGATGAATATACCATAATTTGTTTAATCAGTCCCCTACTGATAGAAATTTACCTTGTTTCTAATATTTTGCTGTTAGAGGGATGCAATTTTTGCCCACATGCCATTTGACACATCCAAGAGTATATGTGCAGCTTAAATTCCTAAAAGTGGAATTGCCATTTCAAAGAGTCTGTGCAGTTTTAATTTTAAGAGATATTGCCAAATTCCTCTCCGAAGAGTACCAGTTTACTGACCTTTCAGTGATGAAAGAGAGGGCCCTGTCTTCAACAACACTGTGTGTGGTCAAGATTCATGATGCTTGCCTATCTGATAAGTAAACCATGAAATCTTATAAGTCTAATTTGCATTCACTTTTTATGACTGAAGTTGAGCGTCTTCCCACTGTTTAAAGGCCATTTTTATATCTTGTAAACTGTCTATTTATATCCTTTGCCAGATTTTCTATTATGTGTGTGAGGTGGGGGGAGGGGGCTGGTTGTTTTGTTTGCTTTCATTTCTAACTTGTGGAAACTCTTTTCAGTAAAGAATTTATATCCTCTTTGGGATGTGAGTAGCAAATATTTTACCCAATTTGTCATTTCTCTTTTGACTGTGTTGATAATAAATGGCTTTTGTGATACAGAACATTTTGATTATTATGCAGTCCAATTAAACCATCTTTTAATGGCTTCAAAAACTATTATTCTTTTTAACTTCCCGTGTTTTCTTCTAGTATTTTTACAGTTTGTTTCTTAACATTTAAATATTTGAAATTCATTCTGTATAAAGTGTAAGGCATGGCTCCAGTTATGTTTCTTTCCTGACTCATGACCCATTTGCCCCAACACTATTTATAGAATAATTCCTCTTTTATCCATGATTTTAAAAATCCCACTTTTTCACATGCCAAATTCCAATAAGCATTTGGGTCCAGCTTGGATTTCCAATCAACTTCATAAATTTGACTGTTCATTTGTTCAACAAATGTACATTATATGTGTCAGGCACTAATCTATACATGCATCAGTGCCTATTTTAAAGTGTTTTAGCTTATAAAATAGGTTTTACTGTCTGATAGAAAAATGCATCTCATTTATCTTTTTCTTTCTTTCTTTTTTTAGACTTTTTAGGGCTCTTTTTATTTGCTTGTTTTCCATTTGAACCTTAGAATCAGTTTTCTAGTTCCAAGATAAAGCATCTTTTTATTGGGATTATCCCAAAATTTATGGATTAATTTTTGGAAATTGACATCTTTGTCACGCTGAAATTTCCTGAACAAGAGCATGGGATGTCATTTGATATATCTTTTCTCGTGTCCCTTGGTAGTTTTCTTTTTCTACAGATAAATCTTTCCCATGTTCTATACATTTTATCTTTTCTTTTGATTTTTGTCTTCTAACTGGTTATATAAGTCTTAAGTTTCCATATACTAACTCTGAATTCTCTTATTGTTTCTAGTAGTTTTTCATTTGATTCCCTTGAGTTTTCTTGGTAAACAATCATACCATCATCAAATAATGATGATTTTGCTTCACTTTTTCCAATTTTTAATTTTTTATTCACTTCTGTTACCTAATTATGTTAGTTAAATAATAGTGGTGATAAAGAAAATCCTTAACTTACTCCTGATATTAATAGGAATACTACTCTTTGTCACAGCTAGAAGCAGCAATCTCCATTCAGTAGCTTTAATCATAAAAACCTGAGGTGCTTATCAGAGATCAAACTTTTTGAAAGAGAAGAGACTTATACAAAGTTTCTTTCTAGTGATGAGTGTTTATCATAAGACTATTTAGAGAAATGAAGACGATAAGAAACAATAACGGTCTCGTCACTAATTGCTCGTTGTTTCACTCTTCTTTTGTTTTGTTTTGTTTTGTTATCCCAACACTATTCTAACAATTTTACACATACAAGATTGTCTGAAATTAATCTCCTTAAAGGTTACAGGCTCTACACAGAGGCAAAATGCCCCCAAAGGAAACTCAGTTGATAGGAGTTTCAGTGTCTTGCTCTGAAATTGCTCATTCTTTAAGGGATGTACAAGAGGAGAAGTAAAGTACCAAATAAAAAGAATACAAAGGGAGTATGAGACCCAAATAATCTAGTAGTACAATAACTCATCAGCCTCTAATTAGCTAAAACTTGGCCTTAATTTAGAGGCTATTTCTTTTTTTTCTAAAACATGCAAAAATTTGGCGCCTGCTTGTCTAATCTATCAATACTCAAGCTTTCCTGCCTAGAAAAATTGCTTTTAGATTGTGCAAAGGCATTCACCTTTGTTTTCCACAATGCCTTAAATGTAACAGATGTTTAAAAGGATCGGTTGAAAGTGTGTTAGGTAATTAGTGCACCCTGTGTGGTTCTATATTAGCGATGTGTTGCAATGTCTCCTGAACAAAGGAAAGGCTTTAGTTAGTCGGAATATGCATCAGCTTTTAAAAAGATGATGATTGTAGATAGTTTCAAAATGTTACATTACTAGAAAACTAGGTTTATGGATTATTAACAATTGGGTTTGTACTGAGTTATGGTTACATTTTACTCTATCTTCTGTTTTATTTTTCATTTTCCTTTCAAAACACCCAAAAGGCACTGTAACCCTCTAACTCTGTTATTCATTAACAGCAGGCATGTTGACGTAAGGACATTTCTAAAGCCCCAAATTGCTGACTTTAAGGTTTTAGTGTCTGGTTTTTTTGAAGTTTGCAACGGTGGGAGTAAAGAGTTGAATAATTTAAGTACAACTCTACATGTGATAAGACAAAACCGGGACAACTTTAATAGCCTGGAAAAGGCTTGTCAAAACAACCCCTTTGGTTTCAGTTTCTAAACTCTATTCGGAAGATCTGATTGATTCAATTGTCACAATACAGTATCACTTTCCCACTTGGATTAATCCTCACCTCAGGTTCCTGACTAACCTGTGCATCAGCAGCTTCTAAATATTTTGACCACAATCCACAGTAATAAATATATTTTACATTGTGAATTTGTGCATAGATGCATAGAGTTTCTTAAGGTAATATTTAGGCAATCTACTGTCTTACACTCTCATATCTTCTGTTCTTAATCTAGCCTATCCCATTCTTCTCTATTCATTAAAAAAATTGCTAGTCAGAACTTGCCAAATTGACTTCGTAACTCTGCAGCTTGAAAAACAATGCTATAGATCAGTGCTTCTCAGATTTTAACACTCATGCAAATCACCTAGGGATCTTGTTAAAAGTGCAGATTCTAATTGGGTGGATCTGAGATCCTGCATTTCTAACAAACTTGCGGGAGCTGCTCTGCTGCTGTTGGTGGAGCCCACCTTGAGGAAGTAAGCCTGGAGGTATTTCTCTTTGGTTCTTGGGGCCCGATCTCTGGTTCGACTGCTTAAGGTGAGGGTATTCAAATCTTCTGGCATAAAGCACAGAGCTTTGTACAGGATCTCTGGCTGCATTGAGAAAGAGCCATGGCCACGGTAGGCGTTGAGAGCAGCACAGATTCTCATTAGTACAGTGACATGTAGCTCAGATACTGAAGACTGTAGCATTTGTGTAATGACTGTTTACTTATTTCACTGTTTACTCTGTGCCAGGCCCAATTCCAGGAAAAGATAAAAATCTTTCTGTATTTTACATTGTATTGGGTGAACAATTAAATCTATACCTTCAGGTTGTGGTAAGTGCAGTGAAGAGAAATGAAGCTGAGGGGGAATGATGGTGATGGGGAGGGGCACCAGATGTTTCTATCAGGTGTTTGGACAATGCCTGACTGGGTCAGTGACATTTAGCAAAGACCTGAGGGAGAGGAGAAAAGTCTGGGAAGGTCTAGAGGAAGGACAGCCCATGCGGAGAGAACGATGTGCAACAGAACAGAGAGGACTTTTTGTTTCAGGTAATCAAGTGATGTACCCGGTTAAAAGCATCAGCCGGCTCATCTCTCATAGGTGATGACCTTCTCCCTCTCACCCTCCTGCCCAAATCTCATCTTCTTCCTGTGTCCCTGATCTTACTTCCCATATTATACTAAATCTAATTTGTCATCATGTGGCTGATACACTATTATTTATTGTATCACAGAGAAAGGAAAAAAACTACTTAATATTAAAAAATTAAGTTTGCTTTAGGATAAAGTCCAGTCTTAGCATAACCAAAGCATACTTTGGAATCTCGTCTCTGATTCCTTTTCAAGCAGGATCAAGTACATGGAAACAAACCAGCGTATAAAAATTGTGTTGTCTCTCTGTAGTAGCTTCCTCTGCTCCCTTTTCTGCCTTGAAAACACCTACATACTCTTCATAAATCAGCTCAGATGTCACCTCGGCAGACTTGGATGCCCACTGTGCCCACTGTCAAAGGAGCTCAGCGCTTGTTCCTCTGTAGCAGTCGACCCACAGACCCCCTACTTTAGCCTTTATCATATGTCACAATTGTTTGTGCTTCTGGATTGTAAGCCCCTCAAGGTCAATACCACGTTCAGTCCATGTTTACGTCCTCAGCACGTAGCATGAGTCCTGGCACACAAGCAGGTCCTTAGCAAATGTTTGCTAAATGAATGAGGACATGATTCACGACCGAAAAAGAGCTCCCCTTAATAAACAACAAGATGTAAAAGTTATGAAATATCCATCACTCAAGCTTCAACGAGGGAGCCAGGCCAAACGGAAGACTTGGTCCCTCTTGTCCTCCTCAGCCCCCAGGGTAAAGTCCACGGGTTTCGCATGGGCCCAGAGCCCTCTGGACCCTGATCTTGGGACCCTTTTCACCCTGAACCCATGTTTGTGAGGCCAAGCACTCTGGGTGACCACAGAACTTGGGGTGCCTTTCTGACTGCCTCCTCCACAGTCAAGAAAAGGAATTTAGATTTACAGTCAATTGATTCATATGGCTTATTATTAGAAATCATTCTATCAACCACCATTCCAAAAAATCATAATTGGTAATTTGCAAAGTACATCAACAATAAGGGGAGAGGGCAACAGCCCCAGGCAGACTTTCTGTGTGCGTAACTCTCCCTTATGGACAGATGGCAGTAACCAGAAAATCCCAAAGAAAGCTTAATAGCTTAATAGTATATAAGCTGGCCTTTAAATTCTTCTAGGGCCAAGATGATGATTTTTTCCCCCTCATTTTACATCTTTCAATACCTTATTGCCCCATAGAGTGCCAGTACTTTGTGAATACTTAATACATGTTGATTGAAAAACGTTGAAAGGAGACACTTTGAAAATTGTTTCCAACTTTATTTTTGCCTTGGGCTTGTTTCTTCCAGACTGGAATAAATACCAGAGGGAAAACATACTCAATACTCCCTAAACCACTAAAATCACAACTGGTATTTCCGTTGCCTTATGTTATTATAATATAAATATCACAATAAATGTACAGTGCAGGGTTCAAAGGTAGTAGGTTAGAAGTAAACAGGCCTGCATCACAGGGAAGTGAGGCCCAAATTTCTTATTCTTCTATGGTATGTTTCTAGTTGTATGGTCAACACAGTTGCAAAAGTTTTTAAACAGTAAGATAGAGGATAGCCTGTTCAAGAAGTCAAGGGAGGGGAAAGAAAAAAATTATACTGAGAAAGACAGCCATTTTGTAAATGATTGAATATCACCAATTTCATATGGTTCAACCTACTAGCAAAAAAGGAAGGGAAAATGGAGGGCAAGTATTTCTGAAAGTACAAGATAGGTTCTTGCCATGTTAACGCTTGGAAGGACTCAACAAAAATGAAGATGGCCCTTCAGTATCAGAATCAGCCAGAGGCTATACAGTGTATTGATTTAACATGCGAATTTCAAAGTTAGACTTTAACTGAATTCTGTTTGATCTTGGCCTTCTGCCTCAGTTTCTTCACCTGTAAAAGGGAAAAATAATACTTTTCTTATTGGGCTTTTGAGTAGATTAAATGGAATAAAAGTGTACTGTGGTTAGGAACGTGCCTTAGTAGGAACCAAGCTTTTACTAAATGAACGATGTTATTTCTATCAGCCTTTTTTAACCAGAAGGCAACCATGACATGATTTTAGCAGTCATTTACATGAAGGCAAATAAGAATTTGGAGTTCCTGAGTATTTTTATGTATTTACTAGAGGAGATCAGGCTTTAGGGTCAAATAGATCTGGGTTTGTCTTTGGGGCAATTTATTTACCTTTTCTAAGCATCATCTGAAAAATGAGCAAAAGATGTACCTAATCCATATGGTTGAAAAGTAAATGAAAAGATGAAAAGTAAATGAAATTATTTATGTAAAATCCTCAACAGACAAGTCACAAAGTGTTTAATAAGTCATAGCTATTGCTATTAATATTAATTAACTACATTGGCCTGAACATTACAAATGTATCTTATTAAAATTGGTTTCTAACATTAACGAATTCAAAAAAGAAGTTAAAATGTTTATTTTACAAACTTATCCTTAAATAGTCTGTATAATCATTGCCTAGTTAATTTTTTAAGTGAATTAGAATTTTTAAAAACATAAAATTTGAAGATATTCAGTTGCACATAATTCTCATGTACAGTGTTGTAATTTCAAAATAAGTACCATATAGAAGCATTAAAAATAGTATTTACTGTATCTTAAAATATTATTTAATGCATCTTAAAATATTATTTACTACATCTACAGTTTCTAGTTGTAAAGTTCTACTGACAAATACATAAAAAAATATAGAAAGAAACAAAAATTGTTTGGTCTTTTGGTAAACAAAGGCGTATTTTGTTGATTATTACAATGAAGGACAGGCGACAAAAGAACTGACAGGCCTGCCATGTATCTGCTCCATTTCCCTTCCTTGAATCTTCACATAGCTCTGACTCAGTGGTACTGAGATTCACAGGCTTCAACTCTAAGGAGATGATCTTCCAACCAAAATGTTCTTGTAAGTGACGTAATTTAAAAGGCAAGCAAGAAAGAGCAAACATCTTTGCTAAAACTGACTCCAAAAATTGGGAGAAAAGCATATAGAATATGAACAAGAAAAGATCAGCTCAGATTGAGTCTTCAGATTATTTTGAGAGGCATTTGTTCAGAAAGATGCTTCAAGGGATCTGTAGGTTCAAAGAGAAAAAGGATGAATTCAAAGATGATATCACTGTGATGTATTTGATTAATGTAAAGGACAACATTAATGGTTATAGAAAAAGTGCTTTTAATAACTTGAAAAAATAGAACTGATACACAACTTCATAAAACTTCATTGACCAGGAATGTATTTTCCCCTGAGGCTCAAGAGCTTTAAAGCCACATAAAATATTTCATTGTCTTGTGATTCATGATGCTGGCATATCTTACATCACACTCAGTTAAAGAACAGTGCCTGTTTCTCCGTATCATCTTCCCACAGAGAAACTGAGGAACGTGAAGGAAGGCAAGTGACATTGTCAGGAGGAAAATCCTCACTTCTGTATCAAATGTTTTTGTTCATTTCTTGTTTGGTATCTCCATATCTCATTTTGAAGTTGTTGCTTCTAAATGTGACTGTGTATTCAGATATTTTTCTGTATCAATCAGTCTGCAACAGTTTGGTTTTGGTCTGAACTAGACAGATGGTGCCTGAAGGTCCCCTCTACATGCATTTGTTTTGACTTTGAAAGGAGTGAGTCAGCATGGCAGAGTGGTAAAGTTCAGTATTTGGTTTCAGACAGGTCCAGTTCAAATGCAAGATTTGGCTTCTTTACTTTAAGTCTTACTTTCCTTAACAGTAAAATAGGTAACTATGATGATGCTTACTGCATTTGGTTGTTGAGAGCATTAATTATATGTAAGACAAGCAACATTGTGTTGGCATGTGGTAAAAGCTAAGGGCACAATAATTATTTTTGAGCTCTTTATTAGGATAATGCTTGGAAAATTATAGGACTTATATGATAGCATTTACTTATTAGGATGGACTCAAGTCCTTCTTGACTCATGAGGTTTCCTTAAGCTATAAGAATCTCTTCTGTATTTGATACTAATTGCACACTTTAAGATAACTTTATTATCTTCCATGGCAGGATTGTCTCAAAGTAGGAGATAAGAAAGACCAGAAATGAGACTTCTACTTCTGCAAACAGGGAGGAGATATACTTTCCCTACTTCTAATGTTATGCATAACTTAAAAATTCTGTACATTTTCTATAAAACAAATACAAATACACTCTGAAAGGTAGAGAGAAGAAGTCAGACCAGCTAGGAACCTTGGGACCCAAGGAATGACATGATGGTAAACTCCCTGGCTGTTCTTTTTGCTTTATGTATCCTGGAATGGGTACTGGAGAAGCCCACAAAAACCAGAAACACCAATTGATAGAGACCACCACCACCACCAACAAAAAAGCCTACTCTCTCAAACCAAAAGACGAGGAAAGGGGTGGTCTAGCTGGGCAGAAAACTTTGAGACAATAACCACTCTATTCCCACCAAACATCAGAGAAAAAACTGGCGTCACCCTTACCCATACCAGCAAAGGCCAAATGGAGGGTCTAGATTCTACCCTCTCCAGGCTGAAATGAAGCGCTCCAACTGCTCCAATGGTGTGGTGTCAGAGAAGGCTAAGTAAGGAGC